ACTAAAAATATATCAAAGTATTATAAAAATCTAAACTAATTATTTTTATGCAGCTTGATTTATAGTAAATTTTAAGATAATAAAACAGACATAAGTATTATACTTTTATTTAAAAAAAAAATTAATCTAATTTTTATTGCCATATTATATTAAAATATCAAGAACTTTTCGTAAAGAATTACTATTTATTTTTCAAAATATTCCCACTTTCATTATTATTTTGTGAAATTATATCTCATATCAATTTTCTTATAAAATTATTTTTTACAATTATAGCACATAAAAGTTCTATTTAAAACATTTCTTTATGTATTATGTTAATAGAAAAAGAACGCGTGTTTTTCACGATGGTGAACATCAAAGGAGACGTTTTTTACGATTGTCAAATTTCAGCAATTTTTTACATGGACTTCGCAAATTCATCAATTTAAAAAAATACTTTTGTAGCATGTTAATAATATTTAAATAATTCCTGTTTCGTAAAGAATACGCCAACCTCACAGGTTAACATAGTTATAATTAACTTAAAAATTGCGTCACGTCTCTGCAAGTTTCGGAGACTTTGCGAGCAATCTCATCTATTCTCAGCCCTGTTCCATCAACCTTAGCCCTGGCGCAATTTGATGGTCTACCGATCGTGATTTTGCAGCTTATACTCAAAGAGGAAAGTCCATTAAGTTGTGATCATCGTCTCAGTTGCGATTGCATGATCGCTGTGCAGAATGAAGGACATTGTGAAAGGTTTGCCGGTGCGGAAAGACTAGAGCATATCTCTCGGTTAAGTGATCGATAAGCTATCCGCGAAACGATAGGTAGTACACGCGCGCCCTATTTGCTTTACTGTCGAGCTTACGATCTCCCAGGTGAACGCGCCATTTGCGTTGCGGAACGTTTGCGAAGCAAAGCGTAAAACGCACGGATTTACAGGTCATTATCCCGAAGTCGGGATCGCGGATTAATCCCCGGTGATCCTTGGTACACGTGAAAGCTCGAGTAATCGCGTCTCGGCGAGCGATTCTGTTTAGCTGTCATTCTTGAGTTTATTACGATAGGCAGTTGATTATATCATTTAATATCCAGGTCATTGTTCTCTAGGTCACTAGGCGCCGAGCAACGAACCGCTAGTTCTAATAAATTTTAGTAAATCAGTTTCCTTCTCCGTGACGGATGTTCATGATGAATATGGAGACCGTCGTGTAAAACGAGTTTTCTTCTATCTTCTCCTTGTGCGAAAAGATATAAAAAATTTTAAACAAAACTTTTATGCATATTACTTATAATTGTGTATTTAGATTTCCCAAAAATTTACTATTCTTTAAAATACTTTTGAAATATCTTATGTTTGTAAACCCGTAACATTATTTTATTATATTTGTGAACTTGATATAAAATCGCGATTCTTCAATTTTTATTCAGAAAAAATATAATTTCATAAAAATGATAAAAATATTTAAAATAATAGAGATATTTTAAGAAATAATAAATCTTTCAAAATCTAAATATACATAGTTAATAAGAATATAAAAAGCCATACACGTAAAAGTTGAAATTTTTCCTTTACTTATTATATTAATAATATTTACTTACAAATGCAGACGTTAATGTTGGAATGCTTTTTCTTAAACTTTGAATTCCAAACGTATATTGTATATATACGTATAAAAATGTGACTTTGTCAATTATTATAAATTAGATTTTGTGTTTAATAATTGTATTTCAAAAAGAATCAAGTCGGTTTCATATAATTGCAATATGCTTGTTAGTCATAAAATAACGTTAAAATGAGCGTTTAATATTGACACATTACGTGACATTTCAGTGTTGATATGATGAAATATAATATTTGAGGTCGAGAAAGAATATCAAAATTCGAGCGAGTTAAATCTTAAAAGATTCGAGTATACCTAGAATAGAATTTTACTTAGAGGTACTATGTGTAATAAGTAACAAATATTTGTAAATTCTAAAACAACTTAATAACTATGGAGATGCCCGTTTCATGATTCGGTCTTAGAATGCGAGAAGATTGTTAAGCCATCGTTAATCCCAATTGCTTCATGGAAGCCTAAATTTCTGATCCTCAGCAGGCTAATTTACGGTATAACGGTAAAAGCACTCCCTTACAGTTTCGTTTACAATCCTCGAGAGTACTACCAGGCAGCACGGCTTACTACAGAGAAGCAAGGAATAGGCTGCGAACAGCTATCTTCTGCCTCGGCACTTAGAAAAGAAAACATTTCTTTTCCGATACGAGTATCGACTGCCAGCGATAACGATACTCGTCACATAATTGCATCCATTCTGCGTTCAATAGCAGCAACATCAATATCTCGTCATGACATGTTTTATAATGCTCCGAATAGCTCGATGCAAATATTGAAGCAAAAGAGAAACTGCGACGAAGAAAGATGCAGGCGAATCAGTACGATAAGAAATTTGAAGCGAATATTTTGTTTCTCAACGTAGAAAATCGATTTGGGGTTCCTGTCGTAATTCGCGTCGCCCGAAAACTTGGGGAATACTTTTTGCGGATGAAGTTCCCGGGAATCGCGCCAGGAGACGTCATCGAAGCGAAACGCGATCCCCAAACTTCGGTCTTGATCGCAAACTTTGCAAAAATGCACCGGTGAACGTGTAAAGTGCACTTAGATATTTCGTTCCAATGACGGATCGACAAATATAACAGAAAGAGATGCATTAGAGAGGCGCACGGACTGCATAAAACGCGCTTCCGTTTGGAACTCTGGATTCACGTGAAGACGAGAGACACGAAGATTATATTCGTTTTGTGGACGACAGGCGCGACAGTGTTCCTCCTTCGCCGCTTCCCTTCTGCAGGGAGGGAAAATATCTCGTCACGGAGGGAATTCGCGGCGACGCGGAATGGCGAGCGTCTTGAATATAAACCGACTATAGGGTGATTCCGGTTCACGCTACCACCTACGAGAGGGTGCAAGGGGGTGCTATCCATTTTCGTTCGGGATCTGAAATTCAGCTGCGTTTCTTCAACTGCAAACTCTCAAAATCCGGAAGTAGAGGAGTCGACCTATCTGAATCTAAATCCCTACGTTGCACTGCCAGTAACGATTTCCTTCCTACGGGACGAAACGAGACGAGACGAAACGGCTCCGCTCCGGATTTCTCCGCGAAAAGCAGAGCCACGAAAAATCACGAAAACGCACAAAGCTCGCTTCATTAGTGTTCTTTTCGCGACACGGAACGTTCGATTTTACTTTTCAATCATATTCCACGATCCTCTATATACAACCTTTCGATTCGGAAACATAGATTCGTGAAAAGTACGTGATAAGATAGACAAGCTTCTCAGACGAATTTATATGATTAGACTTATAACATCAACAATTTTCAGTTAACGCCAAAGAATTTTAACACACATATAAATAAAACAACTTTAATTCAGCTCACCTTCCAGAGTTGACTAACAATAAGTCTATCGAACCCACTCGATTGTGTCCCTCCGAAGCTGACAATGGGTCTATATAATGGAATTGTTTGGATGCTAAAGATTCTGATAAGTAAAAATAATTATTATAGCAACTGCTATTCTACATACAAAAATATCAAACAATTCAATTTTCTTTATATTACAACTGCAAATTTGGATTATTCTTATTAAGATAGACTTAGTTCTTTCTTTCTTTTTTTTACATGAGTTATGTCATTTAAGTTTTTTGAAATTAATTAGAGTTTTTAATTGTATGTATATTAAATGGGTCTTACAGATCCAGTATCAGTAACTAACATATGTTACAGATTTTAACATCAACTTTGGATTTAATCCAGAATTAGTTTAACAATTTAAGATGACGATTTTGATTGTTTTAATCATTCGACTCTTGGATAATAGATACAAGGCTCAATACCAGAACTTAAGAACCATTTCATATTTTAATACGTACTAGCTGCAAAGGAATCCCAAATTGGGACGTATTTGATTAAAATTTGAATTTTTTGTACGTATTAATTATTGTTAAATATACACAGTAATTCAAGTACTGTTAATTACGTTAGTTCCAAGCTTCTCTTGAAAAGAATTTTATTGAAATATTTAAAATTTTGAATACATATAGATCTAAAAATATTTTTGTTGTGTACCATCAAGTAATTATATCGAAACTTCAGCAATGCGGTAAAACATTTTGATATCCTAACAACCACAAGCGTCCCGCATAATTATTTTGATGATTCTAAAAAAATTATTTTCAGATCTGTATCAAGTTTCTAAATTTTTAGAAACTTGAATAAAACCGTTCTTCTGTTTTTCAACTCTCACGCGCGTGTGTGGTTCCGATTAAAATCTCCCGAATGGAGCACGAGGAAATAAATACTCGCTGCGGTAGAATGTATCGGATTTGCGGAATACACACGGACGACCTGTTTGTTTTCAGGATAGCGTGGAACGGCGCAGCTGCCGCACGACGATGGCGGCGTACAAATTGTCAGGAAGAACACGTTCGGATTCCTCGGTGAAATAAGCAACCGCGGATATCGTAAGTGGTAAAGCCGCTTATTCGGGCCGGCTTAGACTTCTAAATTCTCACGACGCTCTCATGGTAAAATGAAACTTTCGTCGCACCTGTTGCATGACAGGTGTATTTTTTACGAATGTGTGTGCTCTTGACCGGCGTGTGAAACTTGTTCTCTTGCGACTCGTGTCATTGAATCGTAACGGTCTGACTTGGACGGTGTTCAAAAAAGTGCTACCAAGTTTGCGCGTATCATTCCGAACTTTGCTAATCTCGTTTCTAAGTTCAGATCGTGTTGTCGCCAGCCACCGTCTCACTCGAACATCTCAGAAAAACGCGATTGTTCTATTAGTTAATTACTGATCGGTCGGAAACGCGTGCCGCGAGATGAACATACGGCAGTTGAACGAGCGAATTCGAAGATGGATCTGCGTGCGCGATGGAACGAAGTAATTTATCGCGAATTGTGAGAGGAGTTGAAGTGAGAGAAAAAGAGAGCAAGAGAACGACAAGATGACGGACCTGCTCAACATAAGCAAGTTTGAGAATATCTGCCTGCTACCGGAAGATCTGGACAAGCAGGAGGATCCTCGAACACCGACTTTGAGAAGAGTCAGTTACGGTATTGTATTGCCGACCATTTGTTGCCTTGGCATCATCGGAAATATCTTGAATCTTGTTGTCCTCACGAGAAGAAATATGCGCGGCACTGCTTACGTCTACATGAGAGGTGAGCATTTGTCTATCGTTATTCGTTTCTAGACATAGTTTCACGCTTCAGTAAATATTTCCAGATCAAGAATGTTGTCGGTTTCTTGCAGACAATAATCACGTCATTAAACTCTGATGAACATAATTATTAAACCATTAAGTATAGCAATTAAATATTATTAAATTATAATACATATTATATAATTCAAAAGTATTGTAGTTACCTAAATTTTTTTCATGTAAACGATAACCTGGAGTGTTTTTATATCCTAGTTAAAAATTACTATTATTAACAATATATATCATTAATTGTTTTTCGATTTATTAATATTAAAAAACATTATAAATGTGGACTTATTTACAAAATTTCTTTGAAAAAAAAAGTAAGTAGAAAACAAATAAATATACATGGTGTTAAAAAAATCATTTGGTATCTAATACATCTACATGATAAATAGTATTTACACCACACTGAGTATAAAAAAAACTTTAAAGTATAATACATAGATCGAAAACTCAATCGTTTTCAAAATATAAACAATTTTGTATGTTTATAATTGACTTATTGACTCCTAGGTATTGTATGCTACGTGAAGATTTACCTCAGTGTTTAGAAAACGCGTTCTCAATATTTTGATTTAATTTCCATACACACTTTATACTGAAAAATTTTACTGGAAATTAGAAAGTTGACATCAACTAGATGTATATTACGATTGGATGGACATTATGGGAGATCATCTCATTGGACCCGTAATTCTCCCAAGGCGATCAGTGCTATACTTATGTATTTCAATTTTTCTGTTTTCACGTCGCAAAGAATAATTATTAAAATAGAAAGATATTATATTAAACAATATCTATTTTATAACAATTCACGTTTTCTTGCTGTTGAGGTGTAAAATATCCCAGATAATTATTTCCTGGGTGAATATATACTCGGGTTAATATGAAGTCGTACTTACTATAGAATGATTAATCATAATAATTGATGAAAAACTTTTTCTTTAACATTGCTACAGTATTTATTTGTCATAAAAGCATAGTTCTTTTTGAGATTGGAGATAGAATAAAATTACCTATGTCACAACAAGCATTTTCTCAACGGTGAAACGGAAACGAGCTTGTAGTAACAAAAAGTAGATTTGGAAATAGTCTTCTGTGTTGAAAAGATTTTTCTAAACAAGGGAAAAAGGCGAGCTAGGCGCATTGAAATAAGAGACCACGGGAAGGAAAAAGCGGCACCATTAGCAGTGTAATACCTTCCAATAAAATTATTCCATGTTTACGTAATATCGGCATAGAAAGCGATTGCATTATTTTCAGTGAGGTGCATTATCGGACGCTCAAGAGCGCGTATACTTCAATACGTCGTTAGCGCGTACGTCATGTACATCAATTATCCACAATTATTATCAGTCATCCAGATAAGATGTCACGTGTCTAAAAACGTTTTTAAAATGTTTTTATGACGTCTTTTAGACATGTGTTATCTGGGTGATTGTTTTCAACGAAAAACTTGATGCAAAACAAACGAGAAATTACAGAGATATCTCTAAACATTAATTCTTCATGGTCTAAATTATTTCTATTGTGTGAAGATCAAGTACTATGTTTTTAAATATAATTTGTTTTTATCTAATTGATTAGTTTAACATACACAGTTGAAAAATTTGTATTAAATTTAACACATTTCATGTATCTCAAACAATACATTTAAATTTTGGTCTTGTGTTACACAAAACAAATATATTAGAAAATAACTTATATATTATAAAACACAAAAAATGTAACACTTTGACACAATTTGAACACAAATTGTGGAAATATATCTCTTTAGTAAAATTTATAATATGTTAAATTAGCAGGCACATTCATTTTTTATTTATTTATCTTTTACGATTAGAATTTATATTTTGAAACTACTATTTTGATGTTCTTTGTGTGTACTTATTCATTATATTATTTTAACATTACAAAATTTAAATATTATAGTGTAATACAAATAATCAAACAATTGGACCCTTAATATTCGGGTATGTTAAAAACTCAACACCAAAAAATTTTACAACATAATGACCAATTTTAACATAATTTTAAAATATTTTTTATTTTGTACAAAGATCGAGATAAACTTTTGCACAAGCTTTGTACGAAGAACTACACTTTTGTACGAAGAACGTATTGATAACTTAAATTGCACGTAATTTTCTTTTCTTCTAATATAAGTTGAACGATCATTTATGTGCGCAGGCACTAACGATCGCGCACACTTTTTTAGTGTCAAAGAAAATTTTAAACGAAGACTTTCAACCTTGTCTTTGTTTCCTTCCTTCTCTGTTTTGAAAGAAAACACTTTACAGGATACTAGTAAAAAAAAAAGCAATTCGCTCACCTTGTCCCGAAAGCCATTAGGGAATATCCTCCAAAACCACGGAAAAGTCGAAAATTCGACGTTACAGCCGCGCAAATTTTCTGTGGAGATTAACGGTCTGTTTCCCCGACTGGAAAAAGACGAGCATTACTCTCAATTAACCTTCCAATCGTTACGCCCGCCGATTCGACCATTTCACTGTAGACTGCTCATCAATATTCATCGCTATAGTTTTGCGGGACAACAGCGCGATCGGGTAACGTGTATCCGTTTCGGAAATGCGTGCGTTGGGCACGTCGGAAAGCGTTTTCAGCTCGTGACTAGTTAACACTTTGACTACCAAGTTGATTTCGACATTGAGCTCTAGGAGAATGACAGTTGAGAAATGCGCGTCTGTTACTAAAATATATGGCATTTGGAAATATATTGATACAAAATATATATCATGCAAAAATTGAATAAATAAAAGTAAATAAAAAGTAAGTAAATAGATAGACAAAATATATAATACCTATATGTTGTTTAGATTTTATTTTTACTGTATTACATTTAATATGTTATGTATTTAATAGTTTTGGATATAATATAAATAACACTGTTAACATTTTTGTATAAATTAGATTTTATGTTTGAAATAGATAAAAATAAAAAAGTTAATAATTTCCTTTTTAAATAAAAATGTATTCTATTAATAAATTGTTACTTTTAATATCTTAAAAATGGAATTTATATTAATTATCAATATTTAATTCAAATATTTAATAAAATCATTCTTAACCGAGTAAATCATTCTACGAGTGAGAATTTATTCTACGAGTAAGAATAAATTTGCCATAGGTGATATATTGTAACAAGTAAATATTAAGTCCGTGTGAACCTCGTCTTACATCAAAAATAAAAAAGGAACTTTGAGCGATGATTAGACGCATGAACGATTCGAATTGACTATGAAGAAGGCTTTTCGTGCGATCTCAAATGTTGTTATATAAATAAGGACAAAACGCGGTTAATGGTTGAAATCGTGGGGGTTCGGCACTAATAATGGCGCGACGCTAAAGAAATAAACCCGGACATTCTTGGCGATACATATGTACCTATAGTGAATCGAGATGTGTTGTGATTATAGCCGATAAAAATCTTAAAATCGAAGATTTCTTGTGGCAACATAGCGCAACAGCACTGCCAAACGAATCGGCGCCGGCGGCGGTGTTTTGGCACGATGCTATAAAGTAATCGACGACTTGTTTCCTGAGCCTCTAACCGAGATTTCGATTCACTATAGGTACATACGTATCGCCAAGAATGTCCGGGTTTATTTCTTTAGCGTCGCGCCATTATTAGTGCCGAACCCCCACGATTTCAACCATTAACCGCGTTTTGTCCTTATTTATATAACAGTCCTTTTATTGTCACGTGTATTTATAGACACTTCGAGGAAGAGGATGGTACATATAATTGACATTGACCTGTTGCCGTGGCAATCGATATCGCGGTGAATTAGTTCCTTGTAAGAGAAAAAAAATTCATTAGAAATAAATAAAGCTACGTAAATTGAAAGTGCATTACTTCGATATAGATATATCAATTAAAAATTTATGTTAAATTTAACACATTTCGCGTATACATTCAAATTTTTATGTTAATTTAGCATAAGATGAATTTGTCAAGAAATAATATAAACATATATAAAAAAATTATACGATATTATACAAATACTGACATAATTTGTATGCATATTTCTTCAATAAAATTAGTATTTATAATATATAAAATTAACATATTTTATTCATTTATCTTAGAATTCACATTTTAAAATACATTGTTTTTATATTATTCTATGTTTTTATAAAAATTCTATATTTTCAAAATAAACAGTTTATTTTTATACACACATATCGTAAGTTTCTACTTTACTATCAAGATTCAAACAAACAATTTCGTACAAAATATGTCGCTCCTGAAAAACTATTAATTCATTCTTCAATTCAAAGAATGGTGAAGATATATCACACATATAGAGAGTAGTCGCTTTTGGAAGAAAAACAACAACAACAACAACGAGGTTTTTGACAGTCTGGTCTAGCCTCGCTTTCATGCTCGCTACGGCGCGCGGCGAGTTGTCCTCCGTAGCTTCCGTCTCCGAGACAGAGGATTCGGCAGTTTTTGCGACGCCTTTAACATCCGTGCCCGTTTCCGAGGTAACGTGGCCAGTGCATTAGGAGAGGAAATTACTCGACAATTCGATTTTGGCATTTTCGTTGAGTTGCGCATCGTACTGCGTTGGAACTGAATGGAACTAGGATTCACGGCTCTCGTCCCCCGGTGAGGTTGCACGTTCCTAAAAGCCATGTCTTTATCGCCCTGGTCGGGTTCCTTAAGGATTATAGACCCCGCCGCGGTCGTAACACATCCCTACGTATATATGAGGCTTCTTCCTTTCGCTTAACTCCGTAGCCACAGCTGCAAAGCCGCGGAATATAGCCTGCAGCTCTGTACTCCACAGAATTGTGCCACAAAAGTGCAAAATCGACTCTAAAGTGGTTTACGCTATCGGAGCACACTCGTTGTAGAAGCATTGTCTTGCAAGTACTCAATTTCGTTTAGTCTAGTCTGGAGCTAATTTTTTTTCTACAAGACTGCCCCGG